CCCCTGCCTGTTGGTGGATTCGACTTGTTAGGGAGGCGGTATAAAATATACTCCTGAGATAAAATGGTTCTCAATCAACCTTCCCCCCACAGCCAGAGCCCCGAGACCCCCTGTCCCTCCCCCATGGCCAGAGCCATAAGTCCCACCCTCCCATCCACCACCACCACCTCCCAAGGAGCCCCGGGACAGCCGCAGCCGTGCCTCCCCTCCCCAGACTTCAAGCTGCTGCGGGGAAAAGCCTCACACTTCGTCTGAAGAAGTTTTTCATATGCCCCATGCAGATTCTGGGGCAGCTGAGGAGACAGTATTTGCTATTCAGCTTCCTGGGTTCATCCATATTCTCTCTGGAGTCCAGGGAGATTATGGATGAACCCAGGAAGCTGAATAGCACATACCGCCTCCTCAGCTGCCCCGGAACCTGCATGGGGCATAATAAAACAAAATTTCCCCCCAAAACCCCACAACCAGGGGTCTGGCGGCAGCAGCAGAGCCTCCCCTGGTCTATTACACCTGCTGCCCATGCTCTCAACTGCTTAATCCCTCAATGATTTCTGACACACTGGCCATCTTGATCACATCCCCTGCAAAGCTCTATGTACTGCCCTGAAAACTTTCACCATGACAGTACCTGCCAGGGATTTATCAACACCAAACTGGTGCCCAGAAGACCAGTAACTATCACGAGTGGAGAGCTTCCACTGTAATTACCATTCTTTTCCATAGCATGGGGAGCTCTCATCCTTGTGATCTGGTACTGAAATGTGAGAGTTAGTCTACAAAAGTGGTAAAGAAACGTCTCCTTTCTGACCCTGAAGTTATGCCGCCAATTCTGGTCATTCCAGATCACAACTACAACTAGGTTCCACCAGTCTTTGGCTATGACTCATACCCAAAAGCCTTCTTCCATCCACTGATGATTATCCACAAGTGCAACACAAGTGATAGTGGATGCAAGACTAATGATTGCATTATGAATTCCATGCTCATCTTGGACGCTGGCAGGCAGTGATGTCTGCTTGCCTCAGTGTGAGCCAGGGAGACAGAACCTATAAAGAATGCAGGTAAGGCTCAGAGAGGCTCACCCACCTGGATATTTTTAGTTTTCAACCTCTGCTGCACTGTGTACATTCTTGGGATTTATTTCACCTCAAGGAAGGGTCTGCATGTTACGCCATAAGAACCAACAAAGGCTAACAAATATCCTGGTTTTAAGGGAAAAAACTCTTCCACATCCTATTACTTCTGAGATCAGCAGGATCATGGTGACACCACTGTAGACCGGGAACAGACAGCTTTTCAAATGCTTCAGCACTTTCTCAGGAAGAACTAGGAATAAGCATTCATCCAGACTCTATTTTCAGAAAAAGGATTAGAAATAGCATTGAATAGAGACTTTATAGGCATTTAAGCAAGCCTTAAAATAGTGTGGGCACACTGTACTACTGGTACTCTGACTGGCTCAAGTATCTAGGATAAACAACAGCTATGGGGGCCAGACTTTCGTGAAGGCGCAGCTTCCATTTAGGCATGAAGTGTTCCAAATCAGGACCTCCCACTGTTCTCAACCTGGCTCTAAATACGTACATTAAGAACATAAGAATATACATACCAATGGTCCATCTAGCCCAGTGTCCTGTCTTCCGACAGTGACCAGTACCAAATGCTTTAAAGGAAATGAACAGAACAGGACAAACATCAAGTGATCAGTCCCAGGATCTGGCAGTCAGAGGATTAGGGGGAGCATGGGGTTGTATCCCTGACTATCTTGGCTAATAGCCATGAATTTATCTAATTCTTTTTTGAACCAAGTTATACTTTTGGCCTGCACAACATCCCCTGGCAATGAGTTCCACAGGTTGACCATGCGTTGTGAAGAAGTACTTCCTTTTGGTTGGTTTAAACCTGCAGCCTATTAATGTCATCAGGTGACCCCTAATTCTTGTGTTATGCGAAGGGGGAAATAACACTTCATTATTCACTTTCTCCACAGCATGCAGGATTTTATAGGCCTCTATCATATTCCTCCCCCCCCCCCCTTGTCTCTTTTCCAAGCTGAATATTCCAGGTCTTTTTAATCTCTCTTCATAGGGAAGCTGTTCCATACCTCTAATCATTTTGTTGCCCTGCTCTAATATACTTTTTTAAGATAGGTATATATGCACGCAATATTCAAGATATAGGCGTAGCGTGGATTTATATAGAGGCATTATGATATTTGCTATCTTATTATCTATCCTTTTTCTAATGGTTCCTAACATAGTTAGCTTTTTTGAACGCCACTACATATTGAGTAGATGTTTTCAGAGAACTATCCACAATTAGTCCAAGATCTCTTTCTTGAGTGGTAACAACTAATTTACACCCCATCATTTTGTATGTATAGTTGGGATAATATTTTCCAATATGCATTACATTGCACTTATGAACACTGCCATTTTGTTGCCCAGTCACCCAGTTTTGCGAGATCCCTTTGTAACTCTTCACAGTCTGGTTACAACTTAACTATCTTGAGTAATTTTGTATCATTTACAAATTTTGCTACCTCACTGTTCACCCTTTTTCCAGATCATTTATGAATATGTTGAACACTAGCCACCGTATAGATTCCTGGGAGATACCTTTTTTACCTCTCTCAATTCTGAAAACTGGCCATTTACTCCTACCCTTTGTTTCTTGTATTTTAACTGGTTACTGATCCATGAGAGGACCTTCCCTCTTATCCAACAACTGCTTAGTTTGCCTAAGAGCCTTTGGTGAGGGACCTTGTCAAAAGTTTTCTGAAAAACCAAGTACACTGTATGCACTGGATCACCCCTGTCCACATATTTGCTGATCCCCTCAAAGAACTCCCATCAAAAAGCCAGTGAAATATATGGTCATTCATATAATCAATATCAGTCCGATTTTGCTTTTTTGGTGTGGTTTTTAGGGGGGGGGAGGGGTTAGATAACTGAAAACGTATCTTTCCTTCGCAAGGGGACAAAGGTGCATTTAATTATTTTAGCCTGTAGAGGTCCCATCTATTTCTGACTTCTCCATTAAGGAGCATAGCTTGTAAGAAACTGTTTACTATTAATTTTGTTCTATACTAGCAAGCAAACAGCATATAAATTAGTTTTGAAGAGTGGTTCTTTGAAAAGGGTATATAAAAAGTCAGTTCTGATCAGTTGCTGAGAACCATAGTTGACCATATCCATCCAGAGAGAATTATTCTACACAAAAGGAGAGGTTCAAAATTGGGGGGGGGGGAGATAATGAAGATGGTTTTATAACCTCAATTATGAAGTCAGCACACAGGTAATTACACATTTTTGCCCTTTTTCACTAATTACTGAGTTAAGTGTGTGTGTGTGTGTAGGCATGCAATCGCATGTTGTGGGTCCTCTTCCAACAGACCATATTATCTGTAGATCTTACTGTACAATGCAGCTTATTTTAGTCTCAGTGTATAAAATACAGCAAGGTACTTCATTTTATTTCAACTCAATGTTTAAGAATTCCAAGTGTATGATCAAAAAGTTGGACTGAAACATATACAACTCTGGACACAATTTCAGAAGTGATACTCAGAGTGCAGAGAAATTAAGTCCACAAAAATGTGTTTTTATCCTCACCTCTTATTGGACGAGATTTAACTCTTTTGATCACTTAAATAAACAGGGTAGCACTCTTCTTGTTGTTGTCACTAACTATTTCAAGATACCTGTACCACCTTATCCTTTAGGATAAGAACACTTTCCTCAAAATAAAGACCATGTACACCCACTTTTATCAAGCTAAATCTTTATTCAACAAGACCCTCCTCACCAAAGTAATTCTAGTTCACGGTTTTACATAAAAACAAGGATTATGACTAGAACTACACTTCAAACTTTTTTATACTAAGTATAGCCAATAAAATTTGGGAAATGTTAACTATTCAATTAAATAAATGAAATTACAGGCTCATTTTGTGGCATGTTATAGTGTCAGTTTACACGTATATAGTGATAAACACTTACTACTTTTCCCACTATGTATTGTATTCTAAAATGGTGGTCATGTCTGCCTATGATAAAAAAAAAAGATACAATTTAAAGTTCTATGCTGAATAGTTAGTTACATGTTGTTCAAGTTAAAACAATGGGTAACTATATTAAAAACTAAACCAAACCTCTAGTATAGCCACAGAAATGCCACTCTGGACTCCGAAAAAGGCAAAGAGAGGAAGCTACAGCCCTAGCACACTACAATGCCAACATGGAGGGCAACACCCAACAAGCTGCCTCATTTAGGTCTGTACATAGTGACTGCTCCAGTTCCACTAAAGGCAGCGGTTCAATCACCAGGAATCTGGCCGAGGTGGAACTTTCGTAGATAAGCAGCGGTACAGGTCTCCCCGTCCCAGCCTGGCTGCTCACAGGAGGTGAAAGCGGAGCCCTCCCTCCCTGGGACGAGCTCCGCTCTCTCGGCAGGTATGAAAACAAAGGCTCTCGAGTCACTTTCACCGTTCCAGGCGGGAGCCTGAACGGAAAGGGGCTGTCTCGGGCCGCAGGCCAGTTCGCCCGGCCCCTCTCCCTGAGGCGCGACTGACGAGTTCTCACCGCTCAGCCCGTCTGCGGGCGGCTCGCTTCAGCTTGGGGTTCGCCTCACGGCCGCACTCCTGACGCCTGTGCTCCGGGGCCAAGCAACCCCAGGCCGCGGCCCTGCCGTGAACCGCCATTGGGCCCGGCTGCCACGGGAGGACACTTCTCCGACACGCGTGGGGTCGGCGGGGCGTGGGGAGCGCGGGCTCCTCGGCGGGGCCGGGAAGGGGCCCCCCACACTGTCCGGTCGAGCCTCTCCGCCAGCCGGAGCCCTGCGCTGGGGCCAGCGGGCCGGGCGCCGTGCCTAAGGGTGACTCCCCGGGCTCGGCTCGCCCCCCCCGACCCCAGGGTCCCCTTGGGCCCCCCGCGGCCCGCGCACAAAGGGCCGCTCCGCTCGCGGCGCCATGCGGGCGGCGCCGGGTCCTGGGCACTCACCGGCGGCGGCCGCACCTTGCAGATGCCGGTTTGCTCGGCGATGGGTCGGATCTTGTGGATGAAGGCGAAGGGGTCGGCGAACTCCTCCCAGCTGGGCTCGAACACGGGGCACTCGGGCGGCGGCAAGAACTCGGCCATGGCCGGGCTGGGGCACCGGCAGCTCCTCAGCCAGCTGCCTCCAAACAATCCTCTAACAGACGCTGGTTGCCGAGCGCCGCCAGAACGGGCCGTGCACCTCCGCCGATCCGGGAGAGAAAAGAGTCCGGCCGGCCGGGCGCCGTGACGAACCCCCTGCCCCTCCGCCTGGGGGAGAGAGCGTGCCCAGAGGCTCCCGCGCCCCCATTGTGCCTGGGGCGCCCATCCGCAGGCCATGGGGTGCCTGGTGCTCACCCCCCCCCCCATCAAGGCCCCTCTCTTACAGAGTGAGGACTCACACGTACACGTGGTCTGTTGTAGAGGGGTCTGCGGCTCACATTAGAGTACAAGCTACGAGGGTTATAAAAATTAGAGGCCCCTCCATTCTCAGTGTTTGATGCAGTATTAAATAATTCCCTAAAAGAGGCCGTAGTCGCTATAACTTGGGACCCCAGATCATGGTCAGACCGACCCATTTGTTGTCCAGCCCTGGGGTTCTTTCCAGAACACAGAGTACAGGCCACATTTCTCTGGGGCTACTCCCAATCCTCATGCAGGGTTTCATTTCTTTTGCTTCCACCTGGAGCTCAGTTTCTCCCAGATATCTGATTCTCCCCCCCCCCCCCATATTAGAGAGACAAGGTGGGTGAGGAAATATCTTTTATTGGACCAACTTTTGTAGGTGAGAGAGACAAACTGTCAATATGACAGGCATAGACTCACGCAAATCCAAAAAGGAGCCTGCTTCTGATAGTATAAGGGCTGCGTACAGAAGAAAGGACTAGTCTACACTAGAAGCACTATATTGGCACAGCTGCAATGTTTCTGGTGAAGATGCTCTATGCCAGCTCCACAAGCAGCAGTAGCTGTTTTGACATAGCACTGTCCATACCAGTGCTTAAGTCAGTGTAACTTACATCACTCGGGGGTGGCTTATTCACACCCTGAGTGATGTAAATTATACCAAAGTAAGTGATAGTGTAGACTTGGCCTAAGATGTAAATTTAAACTGATTTAGTTAAACCAGTAAAAACATCAGTGTGGATACTCTTACTGGAATGGCTTTCTTTAGTTTAGTTTACACTGATTAAGAACTTCTAGGTAAACCCAAATAAGCTATTCTTAAACTGAAATAAGTGCCTATGCAGGGGTTTGCACCAGTTGAATGAAATTGGTTTTAAAAATTATTTAAGCTAAACTGGTGCAATTTGCCTATGTAGACAAGGCCACAATTCTAGAGAGAAATGAGACACACTAGTGTTTTCTGAAGGAACTTCTGGTCATGAGGATATTACATCTTATTGGCATTGCTCTCCATGCAGGTTTTATAAGGCCAGGTTACACTGAAGATACCTGGAAAGATACTGGAGCATATTATTAATCAATTTGTAAGCACCTGAAGGATAATAGGTTTATAAGGAATAGCCAGCATGGATTTGTCAAGAACAAATTATGCCAGACCAACCTAATTTCCTTATTTGACAAGGTGATTGGCTTAGTGGATAGGTGGGAAGCAGTAGATGTGATAAAAAAACAGGAGTACTTGTGGCACCTTAGAGACTAACAAATTTATTAGAGCATAAGCTTTCGTGGGCTACAGCCCACTTCTTCGGATGCAGACTAACACGGCTGCTACTCTGAAACCTGTCAGTAGATGTGATATATCTTGATTTTAATAAAGCTTTTGGCAAAGTCTGAAATGAGATTCTCAGAAGCAAACTATTGTAATTTTATCTAGACCACATTTCCCTAAGGTGGGTGCACAACTGGTTGAAAGACCATATTCAAAGAGTAGTTATGAATGATTCAGTGTCAAACTGGGAAGGAGCATCTAATGGGTTACCGCAGGGGTCAGTCCCAGATTTGGTACTATTCAGTATTTTCATTAATGACATGGATAATGGAGTGGAGAGTATGTTGATAAAATTTGCAGATGACACCAAGCTGGCAGAGCCTGCAAGCACTTTGGAGGATAGGATTAGAATTTAAAACGATCTTGACAAATTGGAGAATAGGTCTGAATTCAACAAGACACGTGCAAAGTACTTCACTTAGGAAAGAAAAATCAACTGCACAACTACAAAATGGGGAATAATTGGCCAGGTGGTGGTACTGCTGAAAAGGATCTGGAGGTAATAGTGGGTCAAAAATTGAATATGAGTCAACAAGCTTTCTGTGATGTATTAACAGGAGTGTTGTATGTAAGACACAGGAGGTAATTGTCCCACTCTACTTGGCACTGCTGAGGTCCCAGATGGAGTACTGTGTCCAATTCTGGACACTACACTTTAGGAAGATACAAATAAATTGGAGAGAGTCCAGAGGATAGCAACAAATATGATAAAATCTTTAGAACACTTGTCTTATGAGGAAAGATTTAAAAAACTGGACAGGTTCAGCCTTGAGAAAAGAAGACTAAGGGAGAACCTGATAGCCTTCAAATACATTTAAGGGCTGTTATAAAGAGGATGGTGGCTAACTATTCTCCATGTCCGCTGAAGGTAGGACAAGAAGTAATGGGCTTAATTTGCAGCAAGGGAGAGTTAGGTTAGATATTAGGAAACACTTTTTAACTACAAGGGTGGTTAAGCTCTGGAATAGGCTTTGAAGGGAAGCTGTGGAATCCCCATAATTGGAGGTTTTTAAAAAAACAGGTTGAAAAACACCTGTCAGGGATGATTTAGGTTTACTTGGTCTTGCCAAAGTGCAGGGGCTAGACTTGGTGACTCCTCAAAGTCCCCTCCAGTCTAACGTTTCTATGATTGTATGAAACTTGAAGAAAGATATGGTTCCTGGCCCCAAAGAATTAGTCCTCTAAAACACAGACATTAGAGCCAATACAAAGCAAAATTTGGTACTGGAATCACAAACTACACTAGACTTGCAAAATGTAGTTTCAGGCATACAATATGTGGGTAATCTGTTTATTTGTCATTATTGTCCATTGTGTAGTGTGAGGCTTGCTCATCTCTCCCCTCCTCCCCCCGGAATATACACAGTTTTTCTTCATCATGTTTTAATGGAATGTCCTCTCAGTTCTGATAATTGGAGGGGTTTTGTTTTCTTGTTTTTTTGCACTCCCTGTAGTCTGGATATAGAGCAGAAAGCACCTCTCTGTTTCACTCTCCTCCCTCACACTGGTTGCACTCCTCCTCTCTGGGGCTTGCACTGTACTTTGTATTCCATTTTTGGTTCCTCATTCTGTTTTTGGTAAGAGTCCCACTTGGTCATTTAGTTTTAAATGACTATAATTGCAACAGACTGCTGCTGAAAGACTTTGCAGAAGAATCTTTAGTCCTGAGAGGCAGCCATCCCCTTGATTTATAAGGACTGTACTCCATTAAGGTCTATGAATCTATCACAACATTGGTAGCATTTCTCTCTATTTGAGTGAACAATGGTGGTTGACTTTGATCGTGGCTTTTCTTTGTTTTGGGGGGTGTTTACTTTAGGAACTGTTGCAATTACAGATTCCCTTCACTTCTCCTGCTAAAGGGGTTCCCTAGGAGCCTCTGTGGATTAGCTCCATCCAGGCAACTGCAGCCTCACGGGGCTCTAAACCACCTTTTCTCCCTTTATGATGTATGTTTACATCTGCGGAGGGATCTGCCACAGCTGACAGCCACCCCAGCATCGGCACTTTTTTTTTTAAAGAGCCTCTCTGTTCTCTGGGATAGGCTAGGGGCTGGAGCAGCGTCACAGGGGGAGCCCCAGTCGGTTTCATTGTCTCTGCAAAGGCTCAAGCCAGTGCAGCGAGGAAAGTGGAAACCGCAGCAAAGTTGAACTATGTATTTCCAGCACGCTTGCTGCATGGCAGAAGGGAAAGCACCAGCAGTGCTGCTGTCCATGCAGGCACCTATCCTGCATGTAGTAGGAGACCCTGGAACAATAGGGGATGGGGTCTGAACAGGGGACTGCCTGAGCTGCTGCTCAGCTGTGGATGAAGAGGTTGTGAGGCTCTCTAGATAGGAGAGAAGCCATTGTGCTCTCCTGTAGGGTAGGGAACATTCAGCTAGAAGTTAGAATTCAGTTAGAAAGTGCCACATCCCTGATAGACAGAGCAAGAACAGAAAAGGGATAAGAGCAACATTTCCCTCTGGGCTGGACTCCCACATATAGAGTCTGCGCCTTCCCCCAAGACAAGAAGGGACTCCCCATCCAAACAGAACTTTTATCTGCTCCTTCCCAGGGCCGGCACTTCCACTAGGCGATCCTAGGCGGTCGCCTAGGGCAGCAGGATTGGGGGGGGGGGCATTTTGCCGCCCTCGGTGGAAATTCGGCGGCGGGGGGTCCTTCCGCTCTGGGTCTTCGGCGGAAATTCGGTGGCGGGTCCTTCACTCGCTCCGGGACCCGCTGCCGAAGTGCCCCGAAGATGCGGAGCGGAAGGACCCCCACCGCCGAATGCTCAGAGAAGGAGTGCTGTCGCCTAGGGCGGCAAAAACACTGGCGCCTCTCCTGCTCCTTCCACCTCCCACAGCAGAAAATGTGATTCTCACTTAATGGGAATACTGTAAAGCTGTGCACAAACATTTGACTTTTGATTCTGCAACATGATGGTGCTAGGGCAGGGGTTCTCAAAATTCATTGCACATTCTGACAACAAAATTACTACATGACCCGGGGAGGGGGGCGGAGCCTGAGCCCTTGCCACCCTGGGTGGGGGGGAAGAGAGGGCAGCAGCACGAGCCCTGCCGTTCCAGGTGGGGCTGGAGTTAGGGCTTCAGCCCTGGGTCCCAACAAATCTAATGATGGCCCTGGTGACCCCATTAAAATAGGGTCCCGACCCACTTGGGGTCCTGAACAACAATTTGAGAACTGCTGTGCTAGGGACAAGGCTTCTGGAGCTCCAGCTGTCCAGCAGATTCTCCCCAGGCCATGTGCTCACAGTCTGCTGCAGAGCCAAGCAAGGAGAGTCCTTTCTGGGAGTAAGGGCCCAAAATCAGACACACACTCAGGCCCTAGAGTTGCATGAGTTCAAGAAAATTAATTGTACATGCAAGGTCATGCCACATGGAAGATGTCCTTTTATACAGAAATGGGGGAAAGT